AAAGTCGACGTTCGGCAACGAGCTGCTCTCGGATTCGGAGAGTCACACGGGTTCACCGAAGACCACAACTTGCACAAGATGCAGCGGAAGCCCCTTGAGCCCTTGTTTTCTCGACGTGCGATTGACCTGGCCCAGGAAAACATCTGGACGTTCGCGAAGCGGGTGGAGGAGCTGTTCAACAAGTCAAAGGGGACCAGGAATGTGATTAGCCTCAACCGGGCGTTTTCCGCCTTTGTTGACGACGCTGTGTCCGAGGCTTGCTTCGGCAAGAGCATTGGTCTGCTAGAAGACGAGGACTTTTCCCCAAGCTGGCATAAGCTCCTCGAGGGCCTCGGAACGCAGACACCGCTGCTGTTCAACTTCCCCATTCTCCCAAGGATGCTCAACCTCCTCCCAACCGCCGTCGTAGCTAAGATCCATCCCGAGGGGGCAGCCTACGCCCTGCTAAAAAGCGTACCCTTCCCCCCTTCCCCTCCTGTCCCCATCCATCATTCCAACCACTGACACTCCCCTTTCTTAGTACACCGAATCCATCGTCGACACTGCCCTCTCCTCCCCCGACTCCAAACCCCCCACCTCCAGCAAACTAATCCAAACAATTCTCTCCTCCGACCTCCCCCCCTCCCAAAAAACCCGCTCCCGCCTCGCAACCGAAGCCTCGGTCGTCCTCGCCGCAGGCGGCATAACCACAATGAGAATGCTGACCATAACCTCTTATTACCTCCTCTCCTCCCCCTCCAAACTCCACCATCTCCAAAGCGAACTCACCTCTCTCATGCGCAGCTACCCAACCACAACCCCCCGCTGGTCCGACCTGGAAAAACTCCCTTACCTGAGCGCCTGTATCAAGGAAGCCTTGAGGTTAGGCATAGGCGCAACCCGACACGTGGCCAAATACTTCCCTAACGACGAGATAGAGTACAAGTCGTGGGTGATACCAAAAGGGACGTCAATCTCTGTGCCCATGTACCCCATGCACTACGACCAAGAGGTTTATCCCAATCCATGGGGGTTTGAACCAGAGAGGTGGTTGGGGGAGTACGACAAAAGGATGGACAGGAATTTGAACCCTTTTAGCAAGGGGAGTAGGGTGTGTTTGGGTAAGAAGTGAGTCTTTTGCCTACCTACCAGATAGAGAATAGAGGAGTGGTGTGAGTTGCTGACAGGCAGGTGGTGTGACAGTTTGGCATATGCCGATATGTATATCATGCTAGCGGTGCTCTTCCGTCCTGGGGTTCCCCAGATGAGGTTGTACGAGACTGACGAGTCGGACGTCAAGTTTGAGTGTGACTTTGGGGTGTCGAGTCCACGGTTGGGGAGTAAGGGGGTGAGGGTGGTGGTTGAGTAACAGGTGGCAAGTTACCATGGTGCAGTTGGATAGGAGCCTTGCATTTCCGGGGAAGAGGGCAAAAGGTAGGTAATGAAACGAAGTAATATTATCCAAATCTATGCTGATCGGCCATCTATCATCTACATCTAGATGTATGTCAACCGGGATGTCTGTTATGTCAAGTCCAATGTATCATCCGAAACCAACACCCAAACCGATACCCAAACACCAAAAAGAAATCTCAACAACCCAAAGAAACAGCCCCATTATTCGTACCATCACCCCCCACAGCCACCCAACCTCCCCAACCCTAGACGCCAGGCAATCTGGGAGGTCTCGCATTAGCCGCAGCCACGAAGTGCCCCCAGGTAATCAACTCCCGACTGCAATCATCCTGATCAATCGAGCACTCAATCAACGTCGGGCCTTTTGTGTTCTCCTCCGCAGCCTTGATCGCATCCTGCAACTCTCCCGCCGTCTTGGCCGTCAGCCCCTTTGCATTGCCATCCTCCCCATTGAAAGCCTGCACCAGCAGCGCATAGTTCCAATTCTTGATCTTGTTGTAGCTGCCATCGTGAATCTCCACCTCGATCGTGTACCCCCGGTTGTTGATCAAGACGATGGTGATGGGGAGGTTGAACCTCACCATCTGTGACACCTCTTGAGCAGTGACCTGGAACGATCCATCACCCACCATGACGATGATCTTCCTGTCCGGGTGACGGAGGGCATACCCAAAAGCAGCGGGGATAGACCAGCCGATGTGACCCCACGCCATCTCGATCTCGAATAGGGCACCTGGTGGAAGCTTGAGCTGAACGCCGTTGAACCAGCTGTCGCCTGTCTCGACAAACAGGGTGGTCTTGGAGTCGAGAAGGGCCTGGATTTGTCTCGAGATCTCCTTGCGGGTGAGCTCGTCGCTTGGGGTGGCCGTGCGGACAAGCACTGGGTCAGGCTTGAGACGGTTGTACTCGATCATGGTGGAGTTGTTGAACTTGACTGTCGTAGCCAAGTGGGAAAGGAATTCCCCAAGGCGGACGCGGCTGAAGTGGGCGCCGGGGAAAGTGACATGGTCCATCTCGGCGGCCATGAGGGGAATGTCGGGCATGGCTGTCCACCCTACTGTGCTGTAATCGGTGAAGACGGTGCCGACACATAGAAGGGCATCGGCCCAGTGGACAATGGAGTCTGCCGCGTCGGTGCTGACGGTGCCCCAGAAGATACCCACGAACTGTTTGTGGTCCTCTGGGAACATGCCCTTGGCTGCGGGTTGGACAGCAACGGCACAGCCCATGGCTTCAGCGAGCTTGATAAGAGCCTGTTCAGCGCCATCACCTGCACGACGGAGCTTTGGACCCACGAGGATGACAGGCTTGAGCTTGCCGGAGAGGTACTCGGAAGCGCAATTGGCAGCTGCCTCGAGGGCGGTCTTGTCGCTTGTGACGGGATCGGTGACGGCGCTGATGGGTCCAGGACGAACACACTCGGCTCCAGAAAGGTTCGTTGGGATCTCAATGTAGCATGGCTTGCGGGCTAGGAGGGCATGGCGGATGGCACGATCGATCAGCCTAGGGGCTTCGTGTGCTCGGGCGACGGCAACTGCGCAGCAGGTGATTTTCTTTGCCATCTCAAGCTGGTAGCTGTAGTCAGTCGTACCAAGGGTGTGGTGGAGGAGGTGGAATTGGCTGGCGTCATTGGTGTTTGGTGAACCGCTGATGAGAATCAGTGGCAGGTTCTCGGCGTAGGCACTGCCGGTGCCATTGAAGGCGGAAAGGGCGCCGACGCTGAAGGTGACGACGCATGCCGAGACGCCGTTGGCACGGGCATACCCTTCAGCGGCCAGCGAGCAGTTGAGCTCGTTGGCACAGCCCACCTCTGTGAGATTGGGGTTGGCTTGTAGTTTGTCGAGGAGGACGAGGTTGTAGTCACCCGGCACGACAAAGTGATGGCGAATGCCAATCTGGGCGAGACGTTCGGCAAGGTAATCTCCAACAGTGTACTTTGTTGGTAGTGACGACATGGTTATGTGTGAAGTGTGTAATGTTGTTGTAAAACCAAGAAGAGAATGTCTCTTGGAAACGATGCTAAAGAAGCTTGCGAAGGCATGATAGCGACCGTGTTGAAGGCGATGGGTTGCTGACCTTTCTTTATCTCTTTTTGATCAGATGGTCTCGACTGCTTCGTGTTGCCGCATTCAAGTGATGTTGGCGAAGCCGGCGACGGCACTGTGCCCACTGCTTCCGTTGATGTGGATCCCCGGTGGTATTTGACAGTGGCCAGAGCCACCGAAAAAGCTTATCTCGACCACCCCACGTCCAGTCTGCAACGGCGACGTTGCGGCTCTGGCATCTGTGGCGTGAAAGGCGTCGATACGAAGAACTGCTATCGTGTAAGCGCCTGTCCATCATGATCATCATCAGCTTCCATGCGTCCGATGTCGTTTAGGCAGGACGTTGGACGGTCGGCCCGACCCAGGGGCTAATCAAACGTGGACGTTCTGGCTTGATCAGACCACGGTCTCGATGCGCTGGTTCAAATGTAACCGCGGGGACACCCGGCGGTAAGCGCGCCTGCGAGGCCTGAGTAAACATGCAGATCCATCGAGATTCGAGATTGTGTGCGACGGGAATAGCGTGGGTGTATTGATAACGCCAAGATCTCGTGATGCTGACGAACTCACATCTTGGCAGGTGTCTCTTCGGGCCCCACAGCTGACAGCACCCGCCACATTTAAAATCATTCGAGCCTCGAACTGTCATGCTGTGCACCTACTTCCATGGACAAATGCGTGTTTTCTCGTACTAACATGCCGATTTTCTCGCGTCGACGGTTTGCCTCTGCCCAGGCGTCTTCTCTTCGTTGACCCAGTCATCAACCCACAGTCCGATGATGATCCGCCTCTCCGGATGCCCTGCTCCGGGGGCAGGCCCCACTTCCCGGTTCGTCGGTCCCAGAAACCTGAATCACCATGCCCAATAAATACCATCAACAACACCACTGTTTTTCTCATCCTATGGGTTTGCCTGCTATCTCACACCTTGTCAAGTCTCAACCCACAGCCCTCTTCGCTCTTACACGTCTGTCTCTTGCCATCCTTCACCTGCCGTCGTTTTCCCTTGACATCGCTATAACCCACACTCAGTGAACAGAGGAGGGCCGCTCCTGCAAAGCACACAGCCACTAGAAACGTCTTCATGATACCTTCGTTGTATCCCCGCACAACCTCGCTGAGCATCTCACCGCCGTCATTGACTGTCCGTACAACACCCTTAGCCCCATTTTTCCAGAGAATCAGAGGAAGTCGCTCGCCCAATGCCGTGCAATCTAGCTCCAAATATTCCGCCAGAATTTCCGGGTGTTCCACCTTCCACAGCTTTGAAATGTGCGCCATCAAAAGGTGATGGGCAACCGGTAGTGCTATAGCTGCGCCGAGGCCATGAAGAAAACATAATCGCCACTGTTGCCTCCGTCGAATCTGCTGAACCAAGGCTTGCCCGTGAAATGATATTGGGATCCAAAGATGAGCCCATCCCAGCGCCTAAACTAAGGACAATCTAGGGTGCAATCCGCTGTGTTTCTGCGGTCAAGGGCGCAAACATGGTTGTGAACGTAATTCCAAACAACCCTGTAACCACGACATGCATGACGCGAATGGATAACGGAGTGCCTTCTTGTTGACCAACCGCACGAGTAAAGCATGTAAAGGAGAAAGCAGTTGCCAGTGTGAATGGAAGAATCGACATTCCTGGTTCCAGCGCTGTTTGATTCTGTATGACTTGAAGCCAGAAAGAAAAGCTACGAGGTCAGGCTGTTAGTGACCTCTATTGAAGTATTAGAGTGGAAGAGCATGGGAACTTACATAATACTGCAAAACTGCAACACTCCCAGACATGAAGAACACATGGAGACTGCCGGAGGGAGTGCGATTCTTTGCTCTCAACCTGAAGACCGCCAAGTCTTCAACAACAAACAACAGCATGGCGCATCTCATAGCCGCGAAACATGTACTCATCATGTTGAAAATGCCACGAGAATAAAACCAGGCCGTGCCGATCCCCGAGATACAGAGCCAGGTCGAAAAACATCATATCGCCAGGGAGCGGTGGAATATGTCTGATATATCCACCATTGAAAGTTGTTCCAGCCGTCCCGGGGATCCTGGTTTTGTATCCCCAGTGTGGAAGAACGCAAGCACCCCAATAATTCCCAATACACCAATCAAGTCATTGACAGCAAATCACCACCGCCGATTGTTCTTGGTTGCCAGCGCTCCTGCGAGCATCGGACCCAGAAAAGCGGCAAGTCCATGCACCACAGCATTGTAATATGCAACGAAGTTCGGTTAGCCTTTCAAAGAAGCTTCCTATGCGGCCCCGTACATCCCAATGTCCGAAAGAGACTTGAAGTAGTCGATAATGTCCGGCAGCACCGTGCCGATGAATGCTCTATCCAGGGAGGAGCAAAAGTATGGAAGCGTGACCGAGGCCAGGACAAGGCCTAGGCGAAGCCTGTGGAGATACGTAGTGTCCATGCTGGCGGGTGGCGTTTAGCTGCGGACTTTTCGGACCTGATGAGGCTCGAGAAAATACTTTCGGACATGGAATGTCGATGGTGAGTATAAGATTGAGTTGCGATGATCCATGAGAGAATGGTCGTGGACAGTGTCTCCGCAGGAGGGTGATTGTCGGGCTAGGAAGCTGCCCTATCCCAAAACATGTCTGAGAAGGAGCGCATACGTAAGTCCTGGCATCGCACCAACGGTCGGTCGTGATTGCTCTGACACTCGCCTGTCAGGCCTCCGGACCTTCATCGAATCTCCATACATCTCTTTCTTGGCCGGTTGATGATATGCTCTCAAATCGCCTCACCATTCATCATGCCTTGAATATACGCTTCCCCTTGTAGTCTGTAGGAATGCCACTTCTCATCAACCACGTCGTCATCCTCTTCTTTCTTTTGCTTTCCTTTCTTTTAAACGCAGCTTTCGGAAACATGACTCCTCCACCCAGGAAGAAAAGTCTCTCAGGCTTCAACATCATCTTCCAACTCTTCGTTCTCCAAGTCTTTATGCGACTCTTTGGGATTGCGACGTAATATAACGGGTACTAAGTATCCAACGATGATGCAGACCAGATCCCCTTCACCGACGTCCTGATTTCCGAGACCTAGCGTACCATTCTATGTCCTGATCATGCAGCGGTTCTAAATGGATGCATGAACTCGTCGGGAGAGCCCAGTAATGAATAAATATAGAATCGGGATTCTAAGCTCTGGTTTTGGAGGTGGATTATCGACTGGTTGTCGGAGGTTCAACGCCATTGCTTGCCCAGCCTCGCTGACACAAGAACAGATCACAGCCGTCATCATCTGAAAAACTCAACACACCCGGACGGCCTGGGATCTCGAATGATGGTGTTCCAAGGTAGGTAGGGCGGGTATCGGGGTTCGTTGGTATACTTCGCTTGACAGGCCTCACTTGATAGGATCTGACGATCTGGTCAACCCATCATCGCTGCCGCCAGCCTGTGCCTGTAGGTCCACCCAAACGTGGAGAAATAGCCATGGTGCCATAAAGGGCTCTCAAATAATCCAAGAGTCTTCTGAGTATGTCAGAGGCAACTCGCCACAACGGCGGCAGGTCCAAGGGTGTGTTCGAGGATATGCCAAGAGCTGTCCCCAATTCCGCTCAAGTCTGACGGTGCCCCGCCCCTGGCATTGGACTTCTCCCCACATTTTCTCCAATTCTAGCACCCCACCACCCTCCACCACGGACCTGTAGCTATGGCGAACGATTGCTATGCTGACGATACCTTATCAGCAAACATCCACATCATGCCCGACTTACACAAGTCCCTGGCGTCAGCTCTTTTCGGAGCGGAAGAACTAGTTCCACGGCACTCTAGTGGTCAGTCGCCTTTTCTGGCGGTTCTCACGGCACGCTATTGGCACTGAACAGCCAATGGTTGTGATTCCCGTAACACCAAAGATAAATCTATTCAAGGACCTTGAACGTTGTTGGCCCCGGGAACAACGAGGCTTCCCATGCGGCTTTCCCCTTGGTAGTATGAGCTATGGGTGCGGGGGTCCTACCGGCCGTGTCATTCCCGCCGTAGCGAGCACCGGTTCCATGGCATGCTGGCTCCTCCATCAAGTTTAACCGTTCCTATTCCCGCGCGAGGATTCTGCCTTGCCCTTCAGGCCTTTCGAAGGAACATGTCGATGCTCTCACTACGACTGGGAAGGATGAAGATTCCACCTTGCCCCGCAACCAAGAAAAACTTACAAAGCCAACAGTATCACAACATGATCCCCGCCATAATTCTCAGCTATAAATGATGATGTATTCCAGGGCTCTTGAACAAACAGCTCTCTCATCAATCAGAGAGCCAGCATCGGCCATTGCAAACATGCTGCTCCATTATCTCACTCTTCTTCCTGTTGCGTTTGCTGGGAGCCACAAAGCCCCCTCAGCAACCACGCTCAACGGTACCTACATCGGCCGTTACCTCCCCGAGTTTTCTCAGGATCTGTTTCTCGGAATCCCCTTCGCCAGAGCTCCCGTCCTTGGAAATCCCACCCCTTGGGACGAGTCCTGGAGAGGTTCCCGCTCCGCCGAGTACAATGGTGCCATTTGCTATTGCTATGCGCCGCCGGCAGACATGGAAAGGGCAAATGTGACCGAGAAGTCGGACGAATGCCTGAATCTCAACGTCATTCGACCATCTGGCATTGGCAAGAAGAAAAAGCTCCCTGTCGTTGTCTGGCTCTACGGCGGCGGGTTTGTTGACGGTTTCGGCGCCGATATCAACTCGAACATGTCCTACATCGTCCAAGCGAGCGTGGCCCAGCAGATGCCCATCATTGCCGTCACACTGAACTATCGTGTCGGCTTTCTTGGGTTCCCCGGCGGTGCTGAGGTAGCTAAGGAAGGCGTCACCAACTTGGGCTTCAAGGATCAACGGATAGCTCTGCAATGGGTCCATGAAAACATTGCCGCTTTTGGCGGCGATCCGGACAAGGTCACACTCTGGGGTCAATCTGCTGGAAGTCACTCCATCACTCATCAGATCTTGGCCTACGGAGACCAACGTGGCGAGAAGAGGCTTTTTCGGGGAGCCATCATGGTCAGCTCGTCAGTGGGCGTCGGAAACTCTCACCACCCAACACGCTATGACGCTCTTGCCGGCTACAAGGGGATTGTTCGGGCGACAAACTGTACTGGCGCCCAAGACACTCTGGCCTGTCTGCGGAGACTGTCTGGGGACCAGCTGTGGGAAGCAAGTATGACAGTGGCCGACTTGGAAGTCTGGAAGCCGATGGTAGACGGAGACTTTGTGTCCATGCCTCCGACGCTCCAGCTTCTCTCGGGAAAGTTCCGTCGCGATGTGTCTGTCTTGATCGGAACCGGTAGTGATGAAGGCCTGGGCCCCTCCAAATCATTACCTCAAGACCTGGACACGGACGAAGATGTCCACGCGATGCTTAGATTGTTACTCCTTGACGCACGGAATGAGACACTCGACCTCATCATGCGAGCGTACCCTGCGGAAGCCCAGGGCCCGCCCTACGCTTTGCCAATGTCGGAGACAGATCGTCTGTGCGAGGAATTCAGGATTGCTGGGGGCTTACGCTGTGGGAAGCAGTTCCGGAGATTTGCTTCGATGTTTGGTGACTTTTTCGTGATCGCTGGTCGCCGGGCTGTCGCGCAGAAGTTTGCTGAGCTAGGCATGACGGCATATTCGTACCGGTTCGATACGTGGCCGACCTCCTTTCCGATCACCAACTTTACAAACTTTAAGCCTGGGTTTGCTGGTCACTCCACAGACTACTCTTACTTTTTCCGTTTCCCAAGGGAACACGACCTCTACGGCAACAACCCGCCAATTCCGAAGGGCTCTGAGGCGCATCTTCAGCTGTCACAGGGCATTGCTGCCAAGCTCATTGCCTACATCTACACTGGCAACCCCAACGCGGTCTCTGGTATGTTCTTGCGCGACGATGCGGTTGTAGTGACAACGCACTAACCTTTCTTGTACTACTAGTCCCCGGCTTTCCTGTCTGGCCCAAGTACGACGTCAAGAAGCCGACTAATATGGTATTCAACGCCACCGAGCATCCCGACCGTCTCAACGTTCACATCGAGCCTGATACCTGGCGCAAGGAGGGCATGGCAATCTGGCCAAGTCACCCGATCGAGCTGGACTACCGGAAGACTGTCCCTGACAATCTTAGAGACCTGTAAGCCTATACGTGGAAGGCTTGAACCATGTGGAGGAGCTTAAGCTTGTAGACCTTGGGTTGTTGCTGGATGTGAGACATACCAACAGCGCCTCAAAAGTCTAAGCGTTGTTTGTAACGCCACATCTCGAGCTTTATCTGGTTTCTAGCAACTAGAGTTTGTATTCCCAGCACGTGGCATAATTTCTACGATAACTCTTCAATTCCATCTTGCTGTGGGTCAATCAACATGTTTATTCGATGACTTTGTCACCTGTATGACCCCCTTAAATAATGACAATGATGTGTTTGCAAGGCTGTCAGAGTCAAAAGACCTACACCTCAGATCTCTGACAGATCGAAGCACACAGTCAAAATGCTCGATTTGCGATTTATTTTTCCGTAGCAGCAACTGACGGTCGTTCGACTCGAAAGATAATCCATCCAGCTTTGGATCTCTACTCTACCTACTTGATCAAGATATTGAGATTCTTGTCAACACTATCCATCCTGCCTCCATTCCCATTTTTTGCTGCTAACAATCCGATCTGACTCGGGACAGCCATCAGCGAGCGCGGAGCAACTGGACCTCTGGATGCGCTACACAGCTGGCTCCACGTGGTAAGATGCTTTGATCAACCAAGGCAAACAATGATGGAAAGAGGTTGATTGGCCCATCGTATATATGTAACACCCATCTCACTCTCATCTGAACATCGAAATGCCCCATGGAAGTCCTCAGACGGGTCCGTCGAACAAGGAGTTTGCTTCACCTGCATTGAACCTGCTACTTTGGAACCGTCAACCCCGTACGTGCCGTTGTCCTTGGCCTGAGAAAGGCGATCTGGGGGGCGTTTTCCACATGCCTTCCCGTCGGCAACCCACCAACCCCTCCGCGCTGCGATTAGGCACGAGCTGCAAGGCGGACGCCTGCTGGTACAATTGTAAGACCTCCTAGTGTTGGGAAGACGCCTGAAGATGTCAAATGAAGGTCTCCGATTATGTGATGAAGGCCTCAGGTTATCTAATGAAGGCCTAATTAATAACTTCAAATGCCTCTCCAAAGGTTCAATCGGCCTTCATTGGATAGTTTGATGCCTCTTGACTATCCAGATAGGCCTGTTCACTATCCAAATAGGCCTAATAAGCTTTCGAATAGGCCTTCAAGCTGCCTGCATAGACCCTCGAACGCTCCTTCCACGTCTAGCCACCATCTGTCGAGGCCTAGGGCACACTTTTGACGCCTATTAAAAGACTTTCGACGCGTTCAATTTTCAAACTTTGACCTTTTCTTCAAGCCTTCACAAAACCAGATCACCACCACCACCATCGCCAAAACGATGGAGACCTCGGACCGGACGGTGGAGTTCATCTCCACCGTCACCACAATGACGGTGATTGCATTTTGCGCTGTGTTCCTCCGGCTTTTTTCAAAAGCCAAGTACGGAAAGGAGGTGATGCTGGACGACAACCTCATGGTGGTCGCCTGGGTACGCGTTTCCCTCGTTTGCGAACCCTCACACACTCGCCGCGTGCTAACGGTCAACAACAGCTCCTCACGCTCGGAAGCCTGGCGCTGCTGCTAGCGTCGGTAGCCAACTTTGGCTACACCCTCCACCAACAGGTGGAGGACAAGTTTCCCAAGGGCGCCGCCGCCCTGATCTCGGTGGCCCAGGCCCTGAGCTCTTGCTCAGGGGCTGCGGCCAAAACTTCCGCCGCCCTGCTGCTGTGGAGGATCACCCCGGTGTTTTGGCAGAGGGCTCTGCTCAAGACCACCACCGCCATCACCATCTTGACAACCCTCATCGTCGCGGTGGTGATGTCGGTCAAGATCAACGACAACAACATGCAGCAAGAGTGTGTCAACAAGACTACAGCCTGGAACTTTGGAATCTTCTATGCTGGTAAGTTTACTCTGTCTGACGGCGACAAAGCCTGGTAACTAACAATGCTGGGGCTGGGACTAGTATGGGGCGTTATCTCCGACTTTATTTTGTCCCTTTTACCCTGGATCATGGTCTGGAAGCTTCGGATGAAAAAGGCGGAGAAGTACGGTCTCGCCGTCGCGCTGAGCATGGGTTGCGTGTGGGTCTTTTCTTCTCCTCTCCCCATCCCATTCTCGCACCGTAACTCACCACCACTACTCCTACTATAGAACAAGCATCCTCGGGATTATGAAACTCTCGTACATCAATTGCGTCTCTGTCCTCGACCTCGATCTCTCTTGTAAGTTCTTTTATTTAGACCGCCCTAAACCTCCACTGACCACCCTCCTGTCCAGACACCTCGATAGACCTCATTACATACCACTTCGTTGAACCGACCGTAATCATCACTGCGGCCTCCATTCCTGCCCTCCGCTTCTTTCTTCATAACCAAGTTACCGCCATGCGCCGCTCGTGCCGCGCAAGCGAGCTACTCGATATGACCAACCCAATCACGAATCCTTCACGAGCCAGCCGAAGAAGCTTCCTCCCCCGGCCCCCAGCTCAAGCACATCAACATCATCACCCCCTTGCTGATTCCGAGTCCATGATCTCTTTGTCCGCAATTTTGAGAGGTTTACCCCCCTCCGCGGAAGACCCACCACCTATGCCACCGATTCGGTCTATGCCCGTTGCCCGAGTAGGCGTTGCTGGCGCGAGTTCCAGCGAAGGAAGAAATATGACGACTGTTACCACCATCACCGGAGGACATAACAACATTAGATCAGCTAGTTCGAATGAACAGCAGCCCAAGGAAGGAGGGATTCTCAGGACGGTGAGAGTTGTTGTTAGCAGCGAAGGAGAGGACTCTACGTTGACCTCGGAGCCGACGGCCAGCATCAGAGAGAGTTACAGAGAGGCCAGAGAGCCTAGAGAGCGTTCGTGGAATACTTGGCCCAGTGGGCGCAGAGAAAGCGATTTGGAGATGGGGGATGTGATTAGGGAGAACGAGCGGAAGGGTGGGAAGAAGAACGAGTAGCATTTGGGACGGCATTTTGCTTGCTAGATGGATGGGAAGATTTGCTATCGCGAGTTTATGCATGTGTACTACCTGGCATAGACCTGCTATATGAGCATCAAGAGGTCACAGGTGAGAGCCAACTCGGCCAATTGAAGACATGGAGATATTTTTGTCTCTTTTTTATTCTCATACATTTTCCACTGTCCAAATTCCGGCTGTTGAACCTACATCTCACCCGGGGTATCACTGTTGAACGCCAGTACACTCACACTCGCTGCCTATCAGACAACAATCTAAACAGACAAATCCTCCCCCCAAACCTCCTTCGCAATCTCGACCTCCAGCCTCACCTTGGCCCACTGCTCCTCTTCGGTAAGATCATTCCCCTCCACCGTCGAGCTAAACCCACACTGATGACTCAAGCAAAGCTGGTCCAGCCCCTGCGGACAATACCCCGCCGCCTCCTTCAGCCTCCTCTTGATATCCTCCTTGTCATCCAACGCGGCCTTCTTGCTGCTCATCACCCCCAAAACGACAATCTTTCCTTCGGGCAAGAACCTCAACGGCTGGAAATCGCCCGACCTCTGGTCGTCATACTCCAAAAAGTAAACATCCACATCCAGCTCCTTGAACAGCGTCTCCGCGACGGGTTCGTAACCGCCCTCGGCGAACCACTGAGACCGAAAGTTACCCCTGCAGAGGTGGATGCCGATAACCATATCCTTTGGCCTGCCCGCAATCGCCCGGTTGATCAACTTTGCGTACTGCTTCGTGAGGGCCTGGGGGTCGTCCACACCGTGGCGCTTGGCCGCCTCGGCGCGCATCCCCTCGTCGCAGAGGTACGCGAGGTTGGTATCGTCCAGCTGGACAAACCGACATCCAGCAGCGTAAAGGTCGGCAATTTCAGCCTGGTAGACTTGTACCAAGTCATCAAAGAATTCCGGGTCGAGGTTGGGGTAGGCCTCTGTAGAGATCGCCTCGCGACCACCACGGAAATGGACCATGGTGGGGGAGGGGATGCAGACTTTGGTTGTGATCTTTGTCTTGCCGTCGGATACCTTGGCGACTTCCTTTTCGACAAACTTGTAGTCCTCTACCTGGATGGCGTTTGGGTGGCCTAGCTTGCCCGAGACGACAATCTTGGGGGGTGTCACGCCGTGGGAGGTGACGTTGGTGGAGGAGAGGGAGCCGTGGCGCTCGACGCCGGCGAGGTGCTGGAGAAAGTCGATGTGGAACCAGGCGCGGCGGAACTCGCCGTCGGTGATGGACTGGAGGCCGGATTGGACCTGGGACTTGACCACGGTCGAGATGTGCTCGTCTTCGATGGCGCGGAGGGAGTCGAGCGTGATGGACTGGGTGTCGAGCTTTTCGCGGGCGTCGAGGATGGGTTTGGGGCGGAGGAAGGAGCCGACGTGGTCGGCGCGGTAGACGCCGGCGGGGAGGGGCATTTTGACTTTTTGTTTTGTGGTGGTGATACCGGGTCCGAGGGGTTGGGAAAAAAATAGGCGTCTTTTACGGATGGGGACAACGAGAGAATGCTGAACGGGATGAACTTGACACACACTACGCACACACGTCAGAAGATGAGGAAGAGGGGGGTTATATACAACCGTCCCGTAGGTGAGGAGTAGAATGCCATTGTATGGAGAAAAGGACTTGGCAAAACCGAATTGTGGATCTCTAGATATCCATAGTCTGTTGACTCCATCACCTTTCCCACTCCAACAACCTTCCTGTACCGGCATCTACGTCCTCTACCCGCTGTATCCGAATTAGCGATCGAATGGCAGCTCACCCATTATCGTCAGCCATGCCCCAAACGGGCCTGGTCTGCCTTCTTATGGTGCGGGGTAGTGGGACTATTCGCTCGTACCTTGCGCTGTGTTGTTTGCCTCCATCAGACGGGAGTTGTATAGCGGAGAATAGATTCCCCTCATGGTGTGTGGTGCTGTTGAGGCTGATTTTGCTGCAGGTGGCGAGGAGACCAGTCCGGCAGTGCGGGGAGCGTGGTCCGGTTTGCCGAGACGCCCTAGGAGAGAAGCGACATGCGCCGGTCCGTGGGATGAAGGCTGGGCGCTTCGGCATATGGAGTTCAGCTGGGGGCGAGGAACACTTGTTCGGAGATCTGCGAGATGGCGATCGAAACAGCGACGATGGGAACTTGGGAGAGGGGAGATTTGTGCAGCCGCGCGGATGGTAGCTTTGGGGTGTTGCATCCTACGAACAACGTCAACGATTGGCCAATTGCAAACACCACACTCACCTTGATTTTGACCTGAAAACGAACCCCTCGAGACTCTGCCAATTGCCGTGAAGTTTCCAAACAGTCGTCAATGGCAGGTCGTTGTTGGCCGGCATCCGAGATCGCATTCAAAGTGGATCTCCAGGACCCCCCCCGTTTTCACGTCTTGGCATCAACCTTGCACCGGATGGCATCATGTGAAATTGGACTCCACGCTGTCTTGAATGTCTAATTCCACATCTCTACCTCTACTCTGAGTAGGTTCATTCTTAGATCCCGCGGGAGCTTCAACACTCCGAATATGTAGCTACCTATATAGTCACACCCGACAAATTTTTTGGCTCAGTCTGTATCGGTCTCACAAGGTGAGCAAAAGGTGAGCAAAAGGTGAGCAAAAGATGAGCGCCAGTGAGCATTACCCTGAGCTGAAGTGTGTCCAAGGACCGTTCGGCTATACTTGCCGCAACCAAAACTGATCATAACTTTCGTTTTCTCCTTGCGCGTGCCAGTAGCCCGTTATTAAACCCACTAGAACGACTATTTATATTAGAATTGTAACTTTGCACATAGACGATTTTGTCTATTTTTCTAATAGAAGAAGACACTTATAAATTGCATAACGTATATTATAAGCGAGCCACGCATATAAGCTAGCTCTGTACTCTCCGTTACTCTACCACAGCTATCCTCAACTACACTATAACATTCGGAAACTACAAGAATTAAATTAGAAACAGATGAATTAGCTGATTCTGCAGCTTCCTAGCATGTACGTGTATCATAGCCAGACTTACCGCACACACTATAGCACTGAACTTTCGTACGAGCCCTTCCTGCATTACCGCTATCCTGCTGCGTTTCTTACGCTGCTTCCCCACCTACGGCCTTCTAGCCAAGTATATCATTTGCATTTTGTATACTAAGTGATCCTCCGAGCCGTACACGTGTTTTTTTAGCTCTTCGGCGTTTATTTAGTGCCTCGTTGGCCTTGTAGAGTAAAGTGTTCTCTGCGCGGAAAAGAGCTACGTAGTATATTATAGCTATTATACTTTTAGTAAGCTAGTCTACAGTAATTAATATTAAATTTGGGCGCTATTTTAATAGTTAGTAATGTAAGTCTTAATAAACGTTAACTACGAGTCAGCCTTTTAGGGGTTATATAGTGTTTGGAAGACTTAAAGTTGTATAGTGCCGGATCGTAAGTTTAAAGGTGTTAGCGTACGATGCTTTTCAGTAGTGTTATTTTTGTCGCTTGTCAGCTATGAATGCGAACTTGGGTCTTGGTCCCTTGATGATTGTTTACTTTATTGGAAGATATAGTGTCTACCTAATAATATCTCCACTTATTACTCGACGACTTCCCGTCAACCTACAGTGCCCAACCACTTTCCAAGCGTCTTACATTCTAACCATCGACTTGTACATCTTGTCTCTTTGCACTTTTTATCAACAACATCAAAACCAACCATGGCCTCTCTCTTGAAGAAAGCTGCTGCGAAGGCCCCCCCTGCCAAAGCTCCTGCTGCCAAAGCTCCTGCTCCTGCTGCCAGGGCTCCTGCTGCCAGAGCCCCTCCAGCTGCTAGCACAGCAAACGGTACGCAATCCAGAAAGTTTCCAAGGATAATGCTCTTGTTGCTAACTTGGCTTCTTCCTCACCATATAGTGCAGGCAGTGACCGCCGCAATGGCCAAAACCAACATTGGCAGCTCTCAGGGTGATCCCTGGGCAGCCCTCAAGGCGAAGAATCCTGCCATGTACGCCAAGATTATTGGGGCACAAGCGGCGAACGATGCTGCCATCAAAGCCGGCAAAATCAAGCCGTTCAAGGTCGTTATTGCCAAAGTCAGGGCTGCGGCCCCGGTCGTCGGAAAAAAGTAGATATCGGGACCAAGAGGATGGGAGGGGCAATGATCGGGCGGTCTGGTGACTTGGGGCGTTCAGAAACTATGCAATACAATTAGATGATAGAGATGGTAACGGGGCTGGAACCCAGATTACTACATTTACTCACAAACTTATTGTCTGAATTGTGTTTTATCTTTCCAGGCGATGCGTTAAAGGGAATAGCAGCCCGGGATAACGTAATTGTGGTGATGAGACGCTATAGAGTTAATCCAGGTACGGCAGAGTACATAATAATATACCTCCGTAAGAGGCTAAGTTTTGGAGCACGACGCAAACTGCGCCGTTCTAAAGGATTCCGGGCCACCCCACCTTTACACCGAACAGTTCTTTAGGAGGGGTAGACGCTCACTGCCAGTTATATTATGTAACCCCCATTCCCAAACCTTCTTCGAAGTTCCATTGCAGCAGCCATCGCCCATCGTCATATCTATTCCATTAACTTCACCATCAACAAAAATGGGCTCAACGACCATCATCCGCGGCTTCAAACTCTCCGTCGCAACCCTCGACGCCTTCCTCTCCGCCAACAATGTCGACGAAACATATGGAACCCCGCCCTTCTACGAGCACCACCTAGAAGACAAGGATCCTATCTCAAAGCTGCTCTTCTCTAAGATTTCCCACTTCGATCCCAACGCCGATAAAAATAAATTCCGCGTATTGATCCCCTCCATCGAAGGCATAGGCCGCGCTAAGACAGCGTATGTTGCTTACGCATGGGCTGCGGTACGGGTGCATCGCGAGGTTAAAATGGACGAAGACCTGCCCGAGGAAATTCCCAAGGGGTTTGAAGAGCTTCGGCAGGAGATTCTGAGCTACTCCGGAAAAGGAGACGTGAAGGAGGAAGATAAGGTTCAGGAAGAGGGGAAGATTGGGATTTATTTGGTGGTTACCTATAATATTAGGGGGTATTATGGGAAAGAATTTTCAAGTAAGGAAGGTTTGTAATATAAGGTTGTATGGAAGGGAGGTATACGGCGAAGAATTAAAGTGGAGGTCCGGAGGTTTTTAGAGATATTGTTAGAAACACGGTGCACTCTGCAATGGACCAAATAATGGGGTTTTCAACTATGTGATTGATTTTTTACTATTAAACTAATTAGCTTAAGCTAGTTAACTAAAGAAATAATATATATATATATATTTATAACCGAAAGTATAATATTTCTCGAATAATATTATTTTTACAATGCCAGCCCGCTGTAATTATTTCTCATACGCTATAACTATTCCGTCCGTTAAATTTGAATTATATCTTATACTATTAATACTAAATATAATATCATTTATAAAATCCTTTGAAGTTTTAAAGTCGTAAAGGCTCGTACAGAGATAGTCTTCCGTATATTTAAAACGGATATTAAAAGCAGATAATTAATAGGAGATTAAGGACCTTACTGGTTCTACAAATTAACTATACGCTAATAACTTTTTATAATTTCATCCGTAATCTTTTCATAAACTACGGAACCATTTATTTCCTCCGTGTAATTTTCTAAGCCCCTATCTTTTTCCCGGCGAAAGAACTTTTGAGGGCTCTTCTTTTTCGGCATTATAAAAGGTATAGCAGAGAGCTAGTGTAGCGAAAATGTAAGGCCGATAACGATGAAGTGTGTAAAGAAAAGTTTTGCGGCAGTGATATAGACATAGGTGGATGGGAGAGAAGTCGTGTGGTAGGTGGTAAGACGGATGGAATAGCCTCTTTATGTAGCCAGAACTGGAAGAAGAAAAGTCGCGCAGAAGGCAGGTAGGGAGTGACGGATTTATCATATCAAAATAGCTACCACGTCCCAGAGTCCCCTAAAACGGAGAGCAAATACGCTGGCGAGCCCATTTCTTGGTCCCCGTTTTGGCGGAAGATTCGTCCCTGTAGGAGAGGGAGACTCCATGGACTATAAGAGCGTCGCGTAAAGTTGGCGATTTTGGAGAATGACGAGCGTAGGGTGAGCGGTGGTGAGCTCAAGGTGAGCCGAGGGTGAAGCGAGCCTGATGTTGGGCTAACCGTGCTCGGACGAGACAAAAATGTTTTTAGAGACCGACTACCCAGGTAGGTACTCAGTAATTTTCATCACGTCATGCCCAAACCCCAACTCATGTCCGGCCGAGAGAAAAACGGCTACACGCATCACAAGACTCGGGGATTTAAACTTTTCAATCTATCTGGTACCTCCCCGTCATCAAGGCGGTTTTAAAGCTCTCGCCTTATACTATACAACCGTGATACGGAGCACCATGGTACAAAAACCCCCGTATCGTCACTGCAGGCGACCGTGTCACTGTTCCGCTATTCTTCATTTCAAATTACCCGCTTCCTCGTACCACAGCATTGTGCCTGTTTCGTTGGGACGCCGCGTTGTCGTTGAGACTGTGTCACCTGCGGTGATGAGAATTTTGAGATCGACTCATGTGGTTTGAGAGGAGAGTGGGGTGAGTGAGAGTAGGTGGTGAGTGAGTGAAGTTGATGAGGTAAGCAGTAACTGCCGCTGAAGACTGTGGGGATGTCGATCATCGAAACGTCCCCTGAAAATCTTTTCTGTATCCTTGGCTCGTTCCTGCAGCACATGTAAGACAATTCATTGAAGATTTCTCACTGTTGCAGTTCCCGTCGTGATGGGACAAGGAAGTTTCCGCAGCGGTTGCTTCCGTGTAGTTTGGGGCTCTTCAATGAAAACAAAGATCACACAGAAATCACATGCAAAATCCCGGAGACGACAACATTGTCTTTTTGAAGAATGTAGATATGGTGTCCCCCATCGGAACAAGAGAAATTAGAAGTTATTATACACATAGGGGATGAGGTAATTCGCAAAACATGAGAACAAAAAGCCACCACCCATTTACACGTAGAGGGTTTAAGTAACCTTTTGCCCATGGCTGCGCTTTCCATCAACAATAAAAACACACGAGATATACCACTCATCAAGGTCACACCTTCCCGTCAGTCACCCGGGGAAAGTTCACCAAGAAAAGCCAGTTTCAAACCATCCAATCATCAAGAACAAATGCCTCCTTGTCATGTCGCCCTCGTCCTCGTCAAGTCATCTCTGTGATGGGTTTTCTTTTTTTTTGTGAAAGAACTCTTCTTTATTTGTTGTTTCTCCAAAAGTGTCGAAACTAGAGGGAAAAAAAAAACTCGTTTGTCGCTGCAACGAACGCGCTCGCGATATGGGGTATATGATATCAGACCAGAACGACTTCTCCTGCATCCTCCGAAAAAGCCAAAGCCACCACAACTATTCCTCTTCCTCTTGACGACACACCAAAAGCACTCGTCTATTCTTCATAGATGGTTGGAAAAGCCGAATCGAGCAAAAAGAAGCCGATTTAAACAGACTCCTGCTTGAGGTAGGCGCTGTTGGTGGGCTGAGACCCGGCAAAGGTGGTGTGGGGCTTCCACTTGGCCGAGGTGCGGGGGGTGGTCTCCTCCATCATCTTGTCGACCTGCTCGAGGGAGAGACCCTTGGTCTCGGGGACGAAGAGGAAGGTGTAGATCAAGGCAAAGGTACAGAGGGCGCCCCAGACGAAGAAGACGGACGACTTCATGTTGCCCTTGTCGGTACCGACCATGTAGGGGGTGATGACGGCGATGATGGTGTTCCAGAGCCAGTTGGAGGCGGTCGAGAGACCAACGCCACGGGAGCGGATCGGCAGAGGGAAGATCTCACCAATGAGAATCCAGGCGCCGGGACCCCAGGTGGAGGCGAAGAAGAAGATGAAGATCGCAATGAAGGCGATCTGCGCGTTAACGGCAGAGATGTTGTTGGCGAGGGTGCGCTCGGGATCCTCCGCCGTGGGGGCGGGGAAGGTGTGGTTGAAGCCGACCGTGACACCGATGATGGCGACGAGGAACTGACAGATGAGCATGCCAAGAGCGCCCCAGAGGAGGATGGTGCGGCGACCGAAACGCTCAACGGTCCAGAAGGAGATGGGGGTCGAGCACACGTTGATGACGGTGAAGATCATGGAGATGACGAACGAGTTGGAAATGGCACCGGTGGACTTGAGGAAGGGGGTCGAGTAGTAGAAGATGAAGTTGACACCAGTCCTAAACGCAAAAGACATGTTAGCCAGCCGATCTTTTTGATTTTCTCTTTCGCGTCTTGTTCAGTAGAAACCTACCACTGCTGCATCATCTGAAGAGAGGTACCGAGGATGGTCTTGCGAAGGTTGGAGTTGGCCTTGAAGAGGGAGCCCTTGAAGCAGTTGGCCCACGAGCCGAACCAGGTGGTGTTGGGAATGAGCTGACGCTCGTACTCCTCGTTGGCGACAATCTCGGCAAGCTCGACCTGGATGTACTCAGAGTCCTTGGGCTGGCCACGGAGGCGAGCGAGAGCATCGGTGGCGGCGGGAAGGTTGGCCTTCTTGACAAAGTAACGGGGAGAGTCGGGGAGCATCATGAGACCACCAGCGAGGATGATGGCCCAGAGGAACTGGATGGCAATGGGAATGCGATACGAGCCAGTGTCGGTTCTACCCTCAGTGGCGTACACAACGCAAGCAGCCAACATGATACCGATGGTGATGCAGAATTGGTAACCAGCGACCAGAGCTCCACGGACCTTGCGGGGGCACTGTGAAGCAGAAGCAGTTAGCACACACATTGGCATCCCTTGGCTCCGGCGAATATCTCCTACTTACAATCTCGGACATGTACAGAATGACGACAGCAGACTCGAAACCGACACCGATACCAGCGATCAAGCGACCGGCAACGATGGCAGCGAGGGGATCACCGAGGCCAGTGATCATCTGAATGACAACACCGATGATATAGATGAGGCAGCCGAGAATCACAGTCCACTTGCGACCAATCCAGTCGGCGGCGTCACCAGCAATGAGAGCGCCGAAGAAGGTACCGCAGGAGAGAATAGAGACGATGAGCGAAGTCCGGGACTCGGAAACAGCCTTGGCACCGGCGAATTCGACGGCGTCGATGAAGATCTGGGAGCCGAGGACACCGTTGATGTAACCGGAGTCGTAGCCGAAGAAAATACCACCAAAGGAAGCGAAGGCGCAGAGGAGGTAGGCCTTCCAGGTGACGGGAGCCTCAATACGCTCGACGTCCTGGGTAGTAGCCAGGCCGCCGACGTGGGAGGCGGCCGGGGCCTCCTTCTCGTCGTGAGTCGACATGATGATGAAAAAGGTTTCTTATACGCCTTGCTCGATGAAGAGATTGTATTGTCGATATGGTGGTGGGGGTGGGGGGGGAGGGGCGATGCCTTCTCTTGGTTGTGTAAGTGGTAACCGTGACCCGAGGGGTTGGATCGATGGGAAAGGGTGTAGAGCGGGATGGGGAGAAGAAAAGAAGCTCGACCGGTGAGACGGGAGAGAGGGTTGTGATATTTGAAGTGAATGACAAGCGGGTGCCACTGGGATGGAAGGGCCTTTGGATTTTTTGGCTGGCATGGGTTACATCTCTTTGGGTTCCAGGTTTTGGAGCATGTCACTCTGCGGAGCGTTGGCTGCTCCTGGCCAGTCAGGAGACGCGGAGTACTGGGGAAGAGTCCATTACCCCCGACTTGGCAAAAGTATGCTTGGGGTATTTCGCCGCGTTCCCGCCGGGACGACTGCATTGTTTGCGGGGACCCTACTTACAAGGTGGCTTCGAATATGATGCATAGGGTTGGCCAAGCTCACCATGTAGCTCGGTAGCTATGGGGTCCATGCAGAATACCGCCGAGCATCTGAGGCACCCCCCTGGCCCATTGCGACTCTTGCAACGCCCGGGGACACGCCGGTCGACTGCTAGCCGGTCCTCTTCGTCCCATCTCTTACCACTCCCCCGGGCTTGCTCCAGCTTCCACCGAGCCACCCCAGAAGCCGCCGGCCCTCTCGACGTTGCAGCTCCCGTGGCCGCGGTGCCCCGTGTGTGTGTGTGGTGGTGCACACCACCTTGAGCCTAGAACGGGGGTGGTCAGGCAGGCAAACGAGCAGCATAAATTGACCGAGTCGGTCCGGAGCGTTGCATCTACACTTGCTCGCCTAACCCCAGATCTTGCGTTGGCCTCGATGAGATGAGCCTGGGGGGAGAGGCGGAATTCAGGCGGATGGCGGATGCGGGTTGTGTAAGGTACGGTAATATTACCGTGGCATTCCACGCTTGTGACAGTCTCTTCCGTTCCCGAGGCCAACCCCCGACCGAACGCGGGCTGGTTCGGCCCCACCGACCAAAGCCGCTGACATTCAGGATGGCCCATGGCAGACACATGATGGCTCCAAAGAAACTTTGCCGTGAACCTTGCCGCCGGGTTTGGGTCACCATTGCCCTCGTGAGGCTCCATAGTGACCCCCATACAACGATGACGGCCTCAGCACTTACAACGATACACTAAACTACATGGCTACAGTACATTCCACAGGGTTTGGTGATGGCCACGTGCGCCAAGTCCCTGAACAGCATCATCACCTGTTTCCGGTATTGTCTTGTATGAGCTTGTCTCGATCGTTGAAGATAAGCGGGTTGTGCGGCTCCCTCACAAGCGAGCGCCAACTTCAACCGCTAGGACCGATCAGAGGATTGTTTCTTTTTTTTTCTCGCTGGCACATGTCGCGTGGTCGCCAGAATGTGGAAGGCTTGCCGAGCGTATTGGATCGTGAAATCGTCGCGCCACCAAAAAAAAACAAAAACGGCACCACTCGGCCATTGGCACGGCGATACTTTTTGAACTACAGCCCATAAGGGCCATCACGCTTCGGACTCGTCAAGTCAGCACCAGTCAACTGACCCGTGCCTTTGGAGCCGTTGGGCTGCACGTCAAAAGGCAACTGGCCAGAAGGACGTTGGCGCGATGGGTCTTCAATATTGGCTAGCCCGGAGCATTAGCCAAGAAGGCAAGGAGTCGCCGGCTAAAAACGGTCCTTTTCTGGGGACTTTTTCTTGTCATTTCCCCGTGCCCCAGTTTTTGTTGTTTGGGGTCCCCATGGGTAAAAAGCTCAAACCCCAGATTCACCTGGAAAAACTTGGAGAAATTCGGGGAAGCTCCATCATGCTCATCGCCATACTTGCATTTTTCACCGATCATCTGGGGAATAGCGGGCATTGTGTGGTTTCACCGATCATCTGGGGAATAGCGGGCATTGTGTGGGATACACTATCTGGGGAACAGGGGGAGTCGGAAAAACTTCTTGACAATAGTTTCTCGATGAGAGTCCGGACTGGAGAGCCTGGAGAGTCTGGAGAGGTGGGATAGGTAGCGGAGATCAGATAAGCAGCAAGCTAGTCCATGTTCTAGCTTGGGGATGGCGGGCCAAGCACAAAAGGAACTTTTCTTTTTTGTTCTTTGCTAGTGCTTCCCCAAGTTTGCCCAGAAAGTGCCCACCAACGATCGTCCTCACCACCACCACATCGTCCACGACAATTTATTCTGCCAAAATCTTGTGGATGCAACGTCTTCCAAAGACTTGGCTGCTGTCCCAGGATCATGGAGATGCTTATTTTTGCAGATCAGGATACGTTCAGCTGTCGAACGCATGGTGAGGAGAGCTCCACCTTGCGACGTCGAGCTCCGCTGCATTTCCCCAGCTTCAACCCTGAGCTGGAGAGTCCCCTCAATTTCATGCGTCCAGGAAGCCCCGGTCTCCATGCCTCAAACAATCCTGGTGTTTCTCGGTCCAGGCCGATGATGCATTTGCAGTCCACCGAGTTGTGGATGTTGCTGCTTGTGCAAGTGTCACTCAAAGGCTGAAGCTTCACGCCTCTTTCTTCGTATCACCGGTGTACAATTCCGCCAGACTCCGAGTCTTGCCGTCCCCTCGAATCTCGAACGGCAACCGCTCAGATGGTCAGAAAGGGGGGCACAGCTTTTCTGGTGCGAGGATGGTTGCACTGAGCAGCGCCGGCGGTGTCTGATTTCCCATGCAACGTTCCGAGTCCTGTCCGACGCGACAAAGTCTTGTGCTACACAGTTTCAAGTCCACTTCATGGTTGAGCAACTTTCCTCTTGCAATGAAAACCAGCACACTGTCTTGCTTGTCGATTTTGCCCTGATGGTATGCTCCTACACTACCTAACCAGGAACTAGACATGTCGTTAACTTGTCCCAGGATTATTACCTAAAGCATTCCCAAAAAGGCGAGTGTGCATCAGCTCTCAGCGTCATCACTCCTGACAGGGACAAAGGCACCACCGGCTAGCTGAAAAGGTCCTCAGAGGCTCAGAGACAATGTTCACGTGCGGGCCCCGTTCCCCTCGTGCTGGCTAATAATGGAGCATGATGGTTTCCCCGGACTTTTCGCCAAACGCAGATTCCCTATGTCACCGTCCTCGACCTCGTGACAGATCTCGTTCTTTGTTGACCGTCAAGCCACTGAACCATTCCAGTCAACAACTCCTCCAACCTGGAAGCGCCACCGATTCTGTGGCGCTTCCTCGCCCATCAACCGCGCCAAGTGGCAAGGGCTGGCGGGGCAGCCGGGGGCGGGAACGAGGGTGCGGCAGACGGTTGATGCCAAGGAGAAACCGAATGCGGGGGAAAAAAGCTTGAGATTTTTGGGGGGTGGTGCGGGAAGCGAAAGTCGGTTGCTTTTCGACGAGCGCCGGGATGGGAAACTTGACCGTCGCTGTCGCTGCATTGGGCACCGTGAAGCGAAGGGATGTGGACGATGAAAGAAAATGCCATTCTGCGATGTCGAGACATCAAGCCTTGTGATCATTTGAAGGTGCCGCTTTCTTTTGGATAGCATCCATCAGAAGGTAATAACGGCAAGAAACATTACGGTACGTTACGCACTTTTCACCTCTCCCGTGTCTCTCCCACAACCCGCCATCTCTTGTTCCCGATCTGACACAGTTTCTCGCAGGTCCCAAAAAATATTACGCCCTTTCTGGTTGCAGAAATCACGCAGACCGATCCCTAATCCCGTTGCGGACGACGGCCAACGGCATTGAAACGATCATCGAGAAAACGGCTTCCCCCGTGGCAAGGATTGGCAATCCTCGCAATTATTAGCAGGCGGACCTTGCGAGCTAGTGGCTGTCTGCCGATCGCACACACGCCACACCGCGGTTTTTGAAGGTCTTGTGGAAAGGGAAAGGATGAACAAAAAGGTACAGATTGGCGTAGGTGCCGCTTCGTTGCACCGCAGCGAATTAGAAGGACAAGAAGTGGACAAATTGTGGGTGAGTTCAAGGCTCCAACAAGGAAACTTGAGGAGCTGGTATTCTCTGGTCGGCGAGGAAGCTGGCCAGTCATGGCTGTCGGTGGCTGCCCTCCATGTTGGCCCTCATGCTGCAACCAGCTGTCCACCACCCGAACCGTGCCGTAACATGTGCGGACATTGCGCTCCATGGCTGTCTTGATATGCCAACCAACCAGTCCCCAGGAGATCTCGATGGCAGGAAAATGGTGAGAGGATCATGGGGGGGGGTTCCTCTGCTTCTTATCACTTTGTCCACATGTTGACAGATAAGACCAAGGTGAGACTTGCACCTCCCATCTGCCGGATCTGCAGCCCGCGCACGCCCATCGTGAACCCCAATCAAACCCAACCTCATGGCGTTGTTGACATCGGGAGGGATCTCTTTGTGAATTGGGATCGACAAGGCTGCGATGATGACTGATGATGTTGACCTTGCCCCTCGTGCCCCTGTTCAACCGTTTCTTCAACAAGGAAAGGAAAGAAGCAACGGGATGCTTGCGCAAGCACAAGAAAAACGAAGGAAGAGCCGGCTTGTCAAGTCCAAGGAGATTTATTTGCAACCGTTTTGTGCCAAGATCCTTGCCAAGTCTTCAACGTTTATGCATGACGATGGCACAGCACGGGCCTGAGTCGTGATGGGCACATCCTGGGAGCCTGGTCGTGGGCTTGGTCTGGGTTTGATGAAAATCTTTTATGAGGGATATGCTCGATAGAATGCAGTTCAATTGTGAATAGAACTAAACTATTTGAAAATATGACTTGTCAGGTGATGATCTGTGAAAAGACTAACAAGCGCTCCCTTGTCAACGAGACTTCCTCGATTATGAAGTCATGTTGAAATAACTTCTATTTCTAATTCCTCTTTGCATGCGTTTATATGAGGCAGGCTCATGACTGGCGCATATTCATGTATCAAACCTATTGCTGAACTAGGTTGATTGTAGAGCTACCATTTTACACACGTCAGCTTATGTTGGTATACCGTTCAGTAC